GCTATCATACTCGATATAGCTAGCTAACTCAATAAAAGTGGTACGGATAGCTAGCTATCACAAGCCGATATTACCCGATAACATATTTTTATAGCTAGATAATCTCAAAGGCATTTTTTTGCTTGGGTAATATGGCATGTGTATTTTGCTTTATTAACTTCTTAAAAAACCTTTCCGTTGTTTTATGATCACGTTCAAATCGTATGGCATTTAAAGGCACCTTCTCTCCTCTACTTTATATCTGTATTTCATTGTGCCACATGTCGAAGAATTAACTTACGTTTTCTAAACTTTCTGTCAATTCAAGCTACTTACAGCCAGTGTACTTTATTTACTTTGTAGTTATCTTTCAGTTATCTAGGAAAATTCAATAGTACACTAGTGCGACGAAATATCGTTTGATAAAAAGTCCTTGCGATGAAAAATCTTTGAATGAAATATCGTTCGATGAAAATATTTTCGATGATTTGTCGTTACCCCATATTATGCTAATCACTATTTTGACTGGAAGTCAACTAAGATCAAATATGAATAATAATATAATAAATGGAAAGAAAAATGTCTGTGTTTGTCTAATACATGGTGGACACGTAAGGAAGAATAAAAATTGCGAACAGGAGAAGTATTGAAGCTAAATATGTAGTAGAACTCGCATACGTTGTACTGTTAGCTATAAGACTTTGAAAAAGATAGATGCTACTAATGGCAACATAATGAGAGATTTGATAGATAGTGCTACTATCGACGTGAAAACAGTGAAAATCAGTTGGATTTGAGTACAGAAGCGAGAACAAGATATTCATTAAGTCTATGGTATTAATTGATCCTCACTAGCAAGACCGAAAAGAATCACTATGATGAGTGTTCATTCAAGTTGCAAGAGATTGCTGAGATAGCTTTGGATTGTAAGGTAAAATGTATAAGAAGTCCGGTCGTTTAACATCGCAATGTTAACGATTATTTGGAAATACTTTGCATAGTTTCGAACTAGTTTGATTCTATAATCTACATTTATAACTAATTCTGTATATTTAGCCATAGACCATTTTTACTTTTAAATATATTAATCAATGTGGAACAATTTATGTTCAAAATAAAAAAGAATTCAAAAAATGGCGGGAACTGAGTGGCGATAAACGCTGAGTAATCCGTAGATCACGCGGGGATGAATCAACGGATGAAAACTATTTAACACGAAAACGACGAAAAAGACAAGAAAAATATCCAATAATCAATAGATCAAAGAAAAGTATAAAAAGATATTGAGCACTTGTTTCATTTCTTTACAGATACTGATAATCGATTCTTGATTCATTTCAACGTTGTTCATCTAAAGGAACTATTGATCTTTAGTGAATATAGCACTGTGTGTTTCCTAGTAATAGTATGATTCAATGGATTACCAGACATTTGGGCGCGCGATCCTTGGGAGTACGACGTTCGGGCGCAACGGTATTTGGGCGCATGTACGATAGAAGCGTTCAGTAAGAGTGCATTTGCTAAAGTATGATGCATAACGGTAAAATTTCTTTAAACAAATTTGGGGCACGGTGTGAGAGCTTTTCTATATTACTCATATCCAGCTGCAATCACTTTTTGTTTAATCTTCATCGATCCTCACCCTCATCCTCACACCGGCGTCTTTGAATCTCAACTGTCGTTGCGCCCAAATGTCGCTTCAGCGCCCATGTGTTGGTATACCGGTTCAATGTCATATAACGAGGATATCACATGTACACTTATATCCTCACACTGAACAGACAGTCCGGCCTCATAATCCGAACGGGATATGTGTTCCTTTCCGGATATAAATATATCCTGATCAGGATATATTTTTATATCCCGAATGGGATTTGGTGTACTGAATGTACATCAGGACACGGTGCTTTTGGATGTGTGAGTGTGAGTTCATCTTTGAAGAAAATTAGTTTTATCCATGGCAAGACTACAGAGCATCTTCACTTGTAAAAATCCTACGTTGAAATAATCATAGCCAAGAAGTTAAGCAATGATATTGACTGTACCTGAGATTAGCACAGGCCGGACTAGAAAATTTTGCAGAGTGGCTGGGAGGGACCAGGCTAGGCCGAAAAGTATTTTTGTCGGATCGGGCCGGACTAAGGATTTTTTTTTGGATAACATAAGAGACGAAGAAGGCCATTTTATCAAGAAAATTCAAATGTGGTTCTAACAAAAAACCATTTGTTCTCGAATTTTGAATTACCGGCATCTTACGACTACTAAGTTACAGATAAAGGTATAGTATAATTTCGAGAATTGCTAACAAGGTCTATCCACTGAGTGATACTTTCGGATGACACAACTTTTAGATTAACCGAAGCCTACGTATTGACTTTATTTTATCGTCAGGCAGGGAAAATATAGTGGTTACACTTGTCAAAAATATAGTGAAATCTAACATGACAGCACACACTTTTCGGTCGATTGATAGATATCTCACAAATTAATAGAACAAATGTACAGACAAATGAGTCTGTATTGCATCACTGTTTATTATTTCTTTTTCGATATTAACATAGATCAGATAAAAGGAAAGCGTGATCTATTCAGAATGAAATTGTAGTCAGAAAAGAGTCGGTGAATTCATTAATTGACGATGTAATCATATAAAAATAGAATCTCTATCATAGTTCTTTTGTTGCAGTGATGCTACGTTTGCAATGAACTCTGTCAAAAGATATGAAAAAGCCCTTGTGCGTTCGCTATTAAGGTTCATAACACTCATAACGTTCAAAAACATGCTGGCTGCTTCCGACCTATAGAATCAACATTTGGCTACATGACGACATAATGAAACAATGTTACTCGACTTTTGAGTATTTTTAATCATATATTATAGCGAATAACTATGAAGTTTTTAGGTCTGACGCATCAGTTTTATCGAGAATAACCGTATTTGCTGGTGGACTTGGCACGAAAATTTAATTTGACCGAGCCTACAAAATCATGGAGCGTACGGTACCTTGATACGAAGCGGTTGGGGTACTACAATGATTTCTCGTCGTTTCTTTTTGTGCTATCAGTCGGTTAACAGAAATAACGATAGAAAAAGCGTCAACGAGTGAAACTCCATGTGTGTATCTGTTAAAACGGGTTATACTCATTTAATTAAACGGGGAAGATATTATGAAAAATCATATCCATGCTTTATTTTCGCGATAAACAGAGACCAATAATCATTTTTTCATCTTCTTTTAATAACAGACGTTCCTTCATCAATAAAAGAAAAACAAACCACACATCTTAAAAACTTATTATTTCTAAAGTACTTTTAAGAAATTTGAAGTACAAAAGTAGCAATACCGCACATATTTTTCCCCCGTAAAATTCGAATATATCCGTCTTCACCCCATGATGAACCTGGAAACAAATAAAATAATATCAATAGAATATTTACTTGGTTCAAAATCTACACTTACCCCAGCTATTTTTACATATCCAATATAATTCACCTTCATCTGTTTTACCATACCCAACTAGTTGTAACTAGAAAAAACAGAACATAAATGTAAAATCTCATTTCTATGAAATCCATCAATAACTTAGTTATATTACAGTATGATCGATCAGGGTTGGCTGACAGGCACTATCTTCGTATATACCTGAAATATCAAATCAAGTCGGGAAAAATTAGTTGAAGAAAATATATTGGTACTTATACGTACCAGTACTATAAAACTGAAATGAAGTTTCACTGGCATCAATTCCAACAAACAAAGGTGAGTCTTGAATAATTGTAACCATATCATCTTCATTCTTCGACTTAAGTTGTGTAACTTTATTAAACTATAACGAATATGATAATGAATGAAGTATGGAGAAAAATTCAGAGATAATATTTTAACTTTTACCGTGGCAAATGGTTTACAAGCTGTTGGGTCACAATCACCCGTCGGTTTTGGATAATCGGCAGCATGACAAATGCCACCTAATTTTTTAATACAATCAAACGGCACGAGATGTTGTGGACAACAGTCACTAACACGCTCCACACTTCCTTCTTCTAGGTTTTTGGTTTGAATTGCATACAAGCTTTCAATTGATTCTACAATTGAACAATAAATGATAATAACATGAAATTTTTTGTTTCTTTTTAGATTAAATTTATTTACCTACGGCAGCAAACGCTACTCCATCTCCTGATTGACCTTGATTTCTAACTTTTGTAATTACACCTTTTGTTCTCCAATCAAAACTTTCTGGTGGCACAAATGATCCATTATGTCGATGATGTACATTAATACGTTCATATTTAGAAGTCATACGAAATGGTTGTACAAGTTCCTGAGAAAAGAAAGAAAATATAATCAATCCATAAATTTTCAAATTACGAATATTTACCTGACTTATTTTATCAGAAAAACTATTAAGTTTTAACGAATATTTTGATGATAATTGATGATTATTAATACGTTTAACATTATCAAAAAATATTTGTTTTCTTAGATTTTCTTCTGTCGATGATGAATAATGTTTTTGTTCTTTAAATTTTTGCCATTCTGATTCAGCATCAAAATTAGCCGTAACAGTCAAACAATATATAAAACCAACACACAATACCTATAAAATACAAATAATCCGAAATTGTCAAATGTCTTTTGTTCAACTAAATACATTACCGGTAAGATAGACATAATAAACATTTTAGAATATTTAATATTCTTTTGTCACTTATTAAATAAGCAAAGAATATACACGTGAAGATAAAGGCTTTTGAAGTTATCTCAAAACAAATGTTCCATTTCTTAAGACCAAATAGAAAGAAAGAATAGAAAGAGAGATAAAATTCATCATCATCATCATCACTGTTGCTCTTTCTTTCTTGTCATTCTGATGCTTTATGAGTATTTTAAAAATGATGTCAAAATGTTTTTATTTTTTTGAAAGAATCACATATTCTTCGATTTATTTTTGTACCTCTTGACAACTTTGACAGTCAACTAAGAAGGCTTCGAATCATTTTGCCGAGCACATAAATCTCCACAAAATGCATATTTTTACATTAAAAATGAAATTTGAATTTTTCTTACTCTAGTGGAGAATGTTCAGTAATAAACTTTACTGAGTATCTCTACAGTTAGTATTAAATAACAACTTGTTTAAAACATTATTTTGAATACGTCATTCATTTGATAAGTAATAAATTTGTTTTACTAGTGTTAGGCGGCATGTGTAGGACATTTATGGCATATGTATGAAGTGCTAAGCCCGAGATGTAACTAGTACCGGCAACCGACCCGTCTCAGTCCGATCAGCAATTTTTGACCGGTCGGTTGACCTACTGGCCAAAAGAAAACTAGTTTGACCGTCTAATCGAGAAAAAAACGTCTTTTCGTCTAAAAAAACCAGTAGTTTGTTGAAAATGAATTTGCTGAGCTGAATAAAACAAACGTCTCATATTTTCCTATTAAAAAAGTTAGTTTGGTTTTCTCTTTTTTGTCAACAGTCTTCAAGAGCAGCACTAGTAATCTCTACTATGTGAATACTCAGTTCGTTTTTCTTTCTTTTTTTAATATTTATTGCGCTACTATGGATGACGAAAGACAAGGTCAGTGGTTATTTTTTGAATAAATCAAAAGGAATAAAAGATAGAGACTTGCGACTTTCATCATTCTATAGCCGAGATCTGAAACTATGTTTTCAAAATCAAAAATAAATTTAGAAAAAATTCCAAAGACCCATTCCACAGGAGATCTGTGGAAAGCTAGTTCGATTCTCTGAGAACTGGCATTGAAATCTAGTCTGAAGTGTCCTCGACAAAAGTAGATCTAAAAGACATCTTGGAAATCTATGGTTCGGGAGTTATGGACGTTTTTCCTAAAGCCGTAGCAGTCTTCTGCCGTTAGGTTTTTACACTCGCACACTTGCGCCAACTCACTCTCTAACATATACACAAAGACAGGAAAAAGATTCAGAGCAACATAGGACAAATAAAAAGAATTGAAGAATTTAAATCTAATTCTAAAAAAGCTGTAAAATCATAATAGTGTACAAATTGAAGTGAGTCGAAATGGCATTGGTCTTACAAAAGACAACCGTTTCTATCGTAAGTGGTGGTTTGGGGTTGGAAGGCGCAACGGTGACGAATAAAGTGGTCTTTTGTGCGAAGAGTATTGCAAGATACAACACTCTTTGAGACCAGCTGTCGCCACCGTCGGATTTTTCAAAGCCATCCCCACATTATCGTTCCATTCTAACATCACCATCTTTTCAACGTTATCGTCTATCAGTTGATCATAATGTTGTCCTGCTGCTACCATTTTCTGTTCATTTGTTTTCTTTTCTTTTCGTTTGCTCTTCGTCTTCTTCTTTACGTTAATTTAAGAGTATTTCTATTTTTTAGCTCTATCTGCCAGAAAAGTGAGTTTAGAGGGAAAACTCACTGGTAAAAAATTTGAGTTCTACTCACTGTCGTTTTAGGAAATTAAGAGAAACTTTCTTGAAAAAAGTCGTTTTTTTCACAATTTGTAATGTAACATTTTCAAAACTGCTTCAACCGTAGCCTCGTCCAGGTTCAATATTTTTTAATCAAATTTTTATTGCAAGTAGTATTCGTAGATAAAAACAAAATTGGAAAAAGAATCAGCTTGAAATAGTTTTTAGTTAAGGAGAAAAACTGAAATTACTAAAAAATGTAGTGTAGCATTTTTTCTTCTGAAAATGTAGAGTAACAATAAAATCGGGTATTCCAAGGTCCTTCCAGATTTACATGGACTTGAAGCCAGCACGATTACACTATGCTAATTTTGTAGCCCGCATCGAGTTACGTACGAATGCATGGTTTTTGTTTAGAATTAAAATGGTTTCTAACCGTAAGACGACTCATATACAACACGTAATTTCTGCGCTAGTATAAAAGTGGTAGTGGAAAATTTTTTCCCCAAAGACTTGAAGATGGAATGAGCCTGAAATTTGATAGAAATAAGTGTTTGATTAATATTGTTCGATATATTCTGGTGATGGACTAGAAAGCTTAAACTTGAATGATTATGAATGGGTGATAGTACTAAAGAGGTTTTTTTCATAAACTTTTGTAATTCTACCTTTTTTAATATTAAATAGTTTTCGATTAATATTCATTCGATTTTTTTAATTGATGCATCTATGTATAATATTTACATGATGACGACGAATAAAATCTTTCCAAAATGCTCCCACTTTATCGACTCCAGCTTCTGATATGATGAGCCAATGTTCTTCCATGATGGGTTTTTCGACCCTATCATAGTCAATGAAAAGTTTGATATTGTCACACCAGCTACTATACCAGAAGAGTATAGTGCGACCACAATCACAATAACTATTTGTGCTTACAGCTCGATGTATCGCGTTTTTAGTTGTCTTACACTTGTTTTCGAATTAGGATGACAAACAGTTCCAAAATATAAAGTTTTTTCTTAAAAATAACAGATTTTAAAACAATGTTATTAAAGTCGAAATTATTCCAAAATGAATTATGGATGGATTGATAAAACGTTATTAGGTAATGATACTAAACTTTTGTACACGATTATTATTCGTATCTGCAACATATAAATTATCATCGCTGTCTAATGCTATGCCACGCGGGCTATTCAATTGATTTGATAAATTGCCAATTGTCACATCACCGGGCGCTATTGTTTGGCCAGTTGCTGCTTGTACACTCCATTTCTGTATGCGATTATTCCCAGAATCTAACACAATAACATCACCACGGGAGCTGACGGCGACACTCAACGGACCGTTCAGTTGAGCTGTACTATTCCCCAGCCCATTTCCACCAGCTACCGTTGTACCAGTCAACGCGTTTTGTTCCCATTTTTGGACTCGATTATTTCCGCTATCTGATACATAAACTGAATAATTTCTATCAATAAATATTCGCTTTGGATTTGTTAATTGGTCCATGTTACTACCATTATTATTACCACCAGCTGCTACAGTACCTGTTATCCAATTAATTATTCTATGATAAGATGTTTGTGTTACATAAATTGTACCATCTGGATCTAAATACAACCCATTGACAGAAGTATTAGATGCCGAGCTACGGTTGATCGTTTTACCAACGAGTGAACCATTTGAAAAATATTGTACACGATTATTGCTTTCGTCAGCCACGAATATACCGCCCTGTGAATCAACATACAAGCTCGGTGGTGCTTTTAATGAAAGAGTTGAATTACTACTAACACCATTACCAGCCACAATAACACCATTTGTGCCTCCTGGCGACCATCGTTGAATGCGATTGTTCCCCTTGTCTGCTATGTAAACATAATTATTTTTATCAACAAAAATAGCATACGGTGCATTTAACTGATTTGTGTTATTTCCAGCGCCATTACCACCCGCAACCGTTATTCCAGTTGAATTCCATTTCAGCTCAGTTATGTATGTTGTAGTTTCAGTAGAAACTGTCGTTGTTGATGTAGGTGAATTCTGAACTTAAAAGACGATTAAACTAACTGTATTATATGCACAACATCTCCAGCTATGAATAGGGAAGCAAAGATTATTGAGCTTAGCACTTTTTTTGCTTTCCCGGTAACTGGTTCTTGATATAACGTAAAGGTTTCTGTTTTTGTGGCATTTTTGTTCACATGTGAAACCGTTACATGGCGAAAAAGGCCGAAGAAATTATATCGCTTTTTCTTCACTGTTTCTCAGTAACGTGTTCTATCCTTTTTTTCCTATCGACGTGATCCATACTTTTACTAGTTCACAGTTTTTCTGTGTTTTTTTACTGTCTCTTCACGCTCTTTCATGAACTGGCGCCTAGTTCTACACGCTTTTTCCGAGATGTGTGGATAAAGTGTCTAAAGACGAATTGACGAATCGCAATTTTTAAGCGTAAAAATGATGCAACAATTCGCGTTTTACCCTTATTTTGCGAATTCGTACCGAATTGATGCGAACTGTATCG